GCGACTCTCAGATTGCGAGTCGAGCGCCCTAATCACCTGACCTTGCCGGGCCTCTCAGAAGTAGGCAGAATTAGAAGTTGGGAGGAATAAACTTTGTAATAATAGTTTTCATAATAAAGTGTCCATGAAATTAAGTCACAAAATTTCGAATAAATGTCGAGTTTTTTTCGTTTTATTCTTTTGATATTTAATGTCTGTTAATTATGTATTTATCTTTTTATATAATTTTAAGCGTCTAATTATCAAACACGAGTGCTACAACCGATATGCTAGCAATATTTAACAAAATTAGCATACTTTTATTTTTTATCAGTGAAAGATCACTAAAGTTATATTTTCTTCGTAATTTCCTGTCTACTATCCTAGGTAATGGAAAAACATCATGGCGTCTTCAATCTAAACCATCAAAGCCAATCGTCAAATCCTCATTGTGGATTCTGTGGTAAAAAGGCCGTCTTTATGTGTTCTGGCTGTAAACAGAACTGGTACTGTGGAGAGCCCTGCCAGGTACGTAAATTCCGAAATTCCCTTACTATTTTACATTAGAATCTTTCTTTATGTGCTGACCACTTAATTAATACATATTTGGAAAACAGCAAATTACATCAAGTATTAGATTTATAAAAATGTATATAAATAAGGAAAGATTGTTTGATTTCGAGCAAAACCACATTGGGCTATGTGCTGCGTCCATCGCAGTAAATCGAACCCCGGATTTTAGCGTTGTAAGTCCCTAACTGTCCCGCTGTCTCACTGAGTCACAAAAAAGGAGAAAAAATCTCACTTGAACAACAACAAAAAAATATTTTTATAGATTTCAACCTTGTATATAACGATATTACAGACATAATTGCAACTGAAATGTCTACTTATGTGTTATGTATTTACAAAATCAACCTTTTTTTTCATTAAATAACAGATTACCTCGAAAGCAATTATATTGCAGATTTTCTATTTATGTCTAATCCTTCTCATGCCCCCCCCCCTCAGTGGCACAGCGGTATGTCTGCGGACTTACAACGCTAGAATTTGGGTTTCGATACCCGTGGTGGGCAGAGCACAGATAGCCCATTGTGTAGCTTTGTGCTTAATTACAAACAAACAAACAAACAATCCTTCTCATGATTAACCATTTTACACTGAAAGAAGCATTTATGACGTAATCCAACTAATTAGCTCATGGACATCAGTTTTAGTTTGAAATGCATATATCTAATCCTTCTCATGATCAACCATTTTACATGAAAAAAAAAGCATTTATGACGTAATCCAACTAGTTAGCTCATGGACATCAGTTTTAGTTTGAAATGCATTCCAGGTTCATTTTACAGTATTTAGTTACACTATGCGCACGTTCTTTCTTATTTTTTTAAGTTACGTCCCACTAGATTTGCTGAATTCTGGATTGAGCTGAAGGTTTCATTAGGTACATGCCCAACACTTGTAATGTGACAACTAAAGTATTTTATCTACAATATTAACAATCTCCTGTGACGTTTCATCATAGTACTAATAACTATGTATTATCTACTGTTTAATATGTATCTTAAACTCGTGACGTCATCATGAACTGGCATTATATTTGAAATGAAGAAATGTTTTTAATGAAAACTGATATGTCCTGTTTATGGATTTGTTTGGAGTCATCATTTCATCTGGTTTGAACTAACAAACTAAGGAATTTGTGTTAATAAAAACATATATACAATCTGTCATTTTAAGAACTTGCGTGTAAAAGCTGAGGATAATTTGTTACAATATGTCACCCACTATACATTTGCCATATACATTGCCAGCCAGGCCTTTCGCCCAATACCAGGACACACGACTAATTATGAGACGCGTAACATTAAATTCGTTGTCATGGTTAGTGGCATATACGATAATCTAAGTCTAATTATTGTTTAGTAACTACTAATCACTAACTACTTTTTTGTTATCCCATGTTTTGCCGCTAATCTGTTTTCTGCGTCGGTAGTAGCCAGTATATTTATTTACATTTAGATACGGATAAAAATGTATAATTTTGCTCAAACGTTATTCAGTGATGTCAGTATAGTTTGGTATACACTTAGAGCCATTTGTATTTTAAACGTTGACTTGAAAAAAAAATGATGTTATTTGTTGTGTTTTTATGAAAAGGTAGAATATATTTTTTGTTTTCTTACTTGAACTTAACTTATATGCCACCCAATGGCACAGCAATATGTCTGTGAACATACAACGCTAGAAACCGGGTTTCGATACCCGTGGTGGGCAGGAAGAGCACAGATAGCCTATTGTGTAGCTTTGTGCTTAGTTCCAAACAAACAAATTTAACTTATACAATTTTTTAGATGCATTTAAAAAAGATTGAATAGGCTTAAATACATCTAAGTCTTGTAAAAAAAAATATTAACATTATTTTCTGTTCAAAAGTTTAAGGTAATTTTTATTTGTTTGTTGAGTTTCGCGCAAAACTACAGAGGCCTATATCCGCTAACTGCCCATAATTTTGAAATGATAGAATAGTGAGACGGTATCTGGTTCACGTCAGCTATTGCAGTATCTTGGGCTACTCCTGTCAGACAATGAGATTTGACTGTCACTCTTCTAACGCACTACTATGTTTGGGATTGGATAGCGGAGGCGCGAACCACAGAACCTCAACTTCATAGTCAGACACGCTAATCACCGAACCGCAGACGATTCTAAAAGTAAAATAATATATAGTTAATTAATTTGAAGTTTCACTAGAAACGGCTCAATCGCAAAAAAAGTACAAAAACATACTTATAGTTCTCTGTAGTTCGGTGTAAATGGATATTTCTTTTGTGTTATTTTTTACTTCACTTATTAGTGCTTTCATGTGAAAATAGATATTTCTGATGTGTGATTTTTTATACTTCAGTTATTAGAGCTTTCATAAGAAAATTTTCGTCTTCTTTAGGTGAAACATTGGCCTACTCATTCAAGATTCTGCAGGAACTTAAATCATTGTGTCTGACTGTGAAATTTTCAACATTTGTAGGTGCCTTTGCTTCTTTTTTTTTCTTCAGTTAAACCACGGGCACTATGTGTTATTCTTGAGTATTGAACGAATATTTCATCGTAGACTCCTATAAAGCTTGAGTGTTTGGGATAAAGACATGACTCCAAAGTTCTTCTGTATACACGAAGCTAAAAAAATAAAAGATGGTTTATACGAACTGTTCAAACGACACTTAACAAAGTTATATAGGACCAGAATTGAGCACATTCCAAAACAGGAATATGACCAAAGTTGATGTGATTTGTTTTTTGTTTAGCTCATCAAACATATTGGAAATTCCATTTCAGCTATTACCAAGGGAAGAATTAACGAGGAAGTTAATATTTGTTTTTTGTGTGTGAATACTTTAGACGTTATCCAGATTTACTCTTCGACAGGAATGTAAAAAGTCTTTCTTACATCTCTAGCAGTTGAGTTTATTTTAAACGTGTTCATTCAGTTTGTTTTGTGGTTTTTAAATGAAGGGAAACAACAAGAAGTTATGTGATATCAACAAGAACCTTTAAGTTTTCTTATGTATATTATTGTTTATTGTTTGTAGTACGTATAACCTGGGGCCGTGACCAACGGGTCTATAGCTTTGTGTGTTATTTTGCTTTTCTAAAAAAAAAAATAATAATAATATAAACATATTTTGTTTGTAATTTGTGATTTTTTTCCTTCTAGTCATAGACGACTCGTTTATTTTTTGTGTTTTTTTAACCCTATGCTGAAATTAAAAATACAAGAAAGGACAATGTGTTATCTATAATTATTGTATTTTACTCGTTTTACATTCAAATTCAGTACAATTACTTCAAATAATATTAGCTCGGATTCATAATGTTGCCAGAATCTTCATTTTTAGAAAGTGATATATTCATTAACTTAAAACATTACTTTGAAATTGTGGAAATAATCAGGCGAAGGCGTAACAAAATATCTTCAACTCTGTATTTTTCTGTGACAGCGACAGTTCAAGCAAATGATATTGCAAGAGTAATGTTATCAGCAATAATAAAACTCGGACCGTCAGAACACGGAATTAATATCTGTATAAAGCGACATAGCATATATATATATATATAATACTGATATGTCTAAGTAAACATTGTTATAAACAAACTCTGAAGATAAAATGATGAAATTAATCTAAAATCCAAACTTTTGTTTAAGTTTGATATAGAGAGTTTGTTATAGAGACTTTGATATAGAGACTTTGACATAGAGACTTTGACATAGAGACTTTGATATAGAGAGTTTAACATAGAGAGTTTGATATAGAGAGTTTAACATAGAGAGTTTGGTATAGAGAGTTTAACATAGAGAGTTTGATATAGAGAGTTTGACATAAAGACTTTGATATAGAGAGTTTGACATAGAGACTTTGATATAGAAAGTTTGATATAGAGAGTTTGATATAGAGACTTTGACAGAGAGACTTTGATATAGAGACTTTGACATAGAGACTTTGATGTAGAGACTTTGATATATAGAGAGTTTGATATAGAGACTTTGATATAGAGACTTTGACATAGAGACTTTGATGTAGAGACTTTGATATATAGAGAGTTTGA